GAAGAGACACACGTGCACTGACCTGGGTGAACTGCGCAGCTACCTTGGCTTGCAGATCACCCGGGACAGAGCACGCCGCACCATTACCCTGACTCAGTCACACATGGTGCAGCAGGTCCTTCAGCGCTTCGGCTTCACGTACTCCTCGCCTCAAGCCACTCCTCTGCCTACTCGCCACTCGCTCTCAGCTCTGCCTTCGGATGAGTCCGTAGAGTCGAGTGGCCCGTATCCAGAGCTTGTTGGCTGCCTCATGTACCTGATGACCTGCACACGACCTGACCTTGCATACCCTCTCAGCATTCTCGCACGCTATGTTGCTCCTGGGAGACACCGACCAGAGCACATGGCTGCAGCGAAGAGGGTGTTGCGCTACTTGTGCAGTACGTCGCGCATGGGGCTAGTGCTTGGAGGGCGGAGTCCAGTGGTCCTCACTGGGCACGCGGACGCCTCTTGGGCTGACGACCAGGCTACGCAGCGGTCGTCACAGGGTTACACTTTCAGTCTTGGTTCCGGCTCTGTTTCGTGGCGGGCTACCCGCTCGACTTCCGTTCTCGGCTCCAGTTGTGAGGCTGAGATCTACGCCGGGGCTATGGCTGCCCAGGAGCTTCGCTGGCTCACCTACCTGCTGACCGGCCTTGGAGAGCCGCCTCGTTCTCCTCCAGTCCTGTACGTAGACAACAAGGCCATGCTGCCCTTGTGTTGAGAGCAGCGACTGGAGCACAGAACAAAGCACATTGCTCTCCGCTACTTTCTTGCTCGTGAGCTACAGCAGCGTGGACAGTTGCGGCTTGCGTACGTGGCCTCTGAGGCCAACACTGCTGATGTCTTCACCAAGGCACTTGCGCCTTGTGATCATCAGCGCTTCTGCACTCAGCTGGGTCTTGTGCCTGTCTTGCCTCACTTGCTCACTTCTTGACCTTGCTTGTACTGTCACATATATATACTCTTGCTCTTGCTTGCTTAGCCTCTTGTGTATATATATATATGTGATGTTGCATGTGAGCTGGCCTTCTGGCCTTTGAACTTGTGCTCGGAATGTGTGGTGACTTTGTGATCCACCCTGAGCTTTGCTTTGCTTTGCTTGACTGGTCTTGTGACCCCTTGTTCTCCCCCACTTTGCCTATGGGGGTGTGTCAGAACATTATAGCTTCTATATTTGTGTAGGCTATAGTGGGGTATCCCATAGGGGGTACAACCCAATCAGGGTTTCCTATATGTACTCACTTCATTCATAGTTCATTCATTCTTGTTCTAGTTTCTTTCACAAGAGTCTCGTGAGACAGGAGGCGACACGAGCAGGGGGCAGACCCAGGACCAGACCTGGACGCTGCAGCAAACACCTGACCCGACGCAGCTACCTGGCTAGACGCAGGGACAGGAGGAGACCCAGTGGTCAGGGTGTAGAGGCTCGACCCCGGCCGACGCGTAAACGTGGCCAGGGTCGGCCTGTGCGAGCGTCCGAGCAGTGGGTCACCCGTTGACTCGCAGGAGTAAACTGGTGAACCCCCGTATCCTGCACGTCAGCACCACTCACCAAGTTCGTAGAGAACGAGGGGAGGTAAAGACCAGACAAGGTGCCAGAGGGGGCAGCCGGACACGGGAGGACAGTGGAGAAGTGAGCGAGGACAGGACCCCCAGAGGGGTCTGCCAGGGAGACTGCAACCGGCCGACCAAGTGGCGTGAGTGTGGTGCGGTCTCGAAAGAAGGAGCGAGAAGCCTCTGAGTCAAGTGTGAAGGTGAGGGAGGCCGAAGCCGACGTGGTACCTGAGAGCGCAGACTCACCAGCACCTGAGGGCGCAGACGCACTGGCACCTAGAGCAGTAGCCTCACCAGCACCTAGAGCAGCAGTACCAATGCCCGGGTCGGGCGGGAAACACCGGTAACAGTCACCCTCATCACTAATATTCACAGCATACATGGCAGCAAGGATAGCATCAAAGTCAAGATCATAGATAGCTACGCCTGCCCTAGAAAGCTCTCCCTAGCGGGGGATCTCACTGGCCTCCGGGAACTGCTGACGCCAAGCGTCCGTCAGGCGGCCAAAGCAGCGCTGGGTGGGGTGGGCACTCCCACACTGCTCACCCGCGCGGTCGCCGGAGCGAAGGACGTAGGTGCACGGACCAAAACCCCCACCACGCTGACGCTGCGCGTACCACTCACGGAGCTGCTGAGGGGGGGGGAATGTCCCGAGAACGCCGCTCCTTCTGCTGCTGCTGGCGCTGACCACCACCAGGGCTGCTCCGCTGCGAAGCGCCACCCCGACCACCGCCACCTCCTACACCACCGCCTCCTCCACCTCCGCCACCACCGCCGCCTCCGCTAGCACCGCCGCCGCCTCCGCCGTCTTCGCCTCCACTGCTGCCACCGACACCTCCACCCCCGCCACCATTCCCACCGCCACCCCCACTCCCTCCGCCGCCTCCACCGCCACCTCCACCGCCCCCGCTAGCTCCACCCGCGCCCTTGCCCCCCTTGCCCTTGCCAGAGCGGCGTCTCCCGCTAGGGGCAGACGCCGCACCGACCGACTCAAGACCAACGAGGTCGGCCGCAGCGGCAGAGGCGACAGAGGGCAAAAGGGGGGAGGGAGAACACCCCTCAAAGATGGGGGTGCGAGGGTCACCACGAGAGGCTCCTACAGCGACTATGCTCTTCTCCGCTGCTAGGAGGGCCTTCTCTAAGAGGTCAACAGTGAGAGTGGTGGGTCAGACTGAGAGGAAGTGGTCCCTGACTACACGAAGGGAGTCAGGGAGGCGAGTGACTATATAATAGAGAGTGATGTACATGGGGGGGGGGGTTCATGGCGCAGAACTCAGCAGGAAGCGCGGCGTGGTAGCGAGTGTCACTAGTTCGGAGGTTCGTAATGAGGTCAGCGACTGTGGGAAAGGCAGCAAGGTCAGGGAAGAGGTACGGCAGCATGAGGCGGCTCAGTGCAGCAGTGGCAGGGGAAGAGTAGCGCGCAACTACAGCGTCGTACAAGGTCTGAGCACTCTTGTACTGACTAAAGTGCGCGCGCTCAGTGGTAGGCAGGTGGCGATGCACAGCAAGAGGTGCAGCAGCATCGCGCGTGGCCCACTGGGAGCGAACAGTGGGGTCAGCATCAGCAGTAGGGGCAGGAGAGGCGCCAGAGGTGAGGTCAAAGAGAGAGAGACCGTCTGCCCTATCGCACTGTAAGAACTGCTGCAGGTCGTCGACCCAGACCTCAAAGTCAATGGCTCGACCCTCAGCGTCAAACGCGAGGACACTAGGGGTAGCCATGACAACAGTAGACTAGCAGTACCAACTGTAGGACAGGGGCAGTGCAGTGACAGAAGCGCTGCTCTCACCAAACAGGGCGGTTCGGGCAGCTCAGTAGCACAGTAACACGGCTGCTCGGACGGCTCAGCAGCAACTGCGGCTCCGCGGCACCAGCGGCTCGGCTCCTCAGGCGGCTCGGGCGGCTCGGCTCCTCAGCGGCTCAGGCGGCTCGGGCGCCTCGGGCAGGTCGGGCGGCTCGGGCTGCTCGGGCGGCTCGGCTCCTCAGTGGCTCAGGCGACTCGGGCGGCTCGGGCGGCTCGGGCGGCTCGGGCGGCGCGGGCGGTGTAGGGCGGTAGGGCCGCTGGTAGGGCGGCGGGGCCGCAAGGTAGGTGGCGGGGCCGCAGTGGGAGGGGCGGCGGGGCCGGAGTGAAGGGCGGCGGGGCCGCCGTGAAGGGCGGCGGGGCAGCTGAGAAGGGCGGCGAGGCCGCAGTGAGAGAGGCGGCGGGGCCGCAGAGAAGGGCGGCGGGGCCGCTGAGAAGGGCGGCGAGGCCGCAGCGAGAGAGGCGGCGGGGCCGCAGCGAAGGGCGGCGGGGCCGCTGAGACGGGCGGCGGGGCTGCAGCGAAGGGCGGCAGGGCCTCAGTGTGAGGCGGCGGGGCCGCAGGGAAGGGCGGCGGGGCTGCAATGTGAGGCGGCGGGGCCGCAGCGAAGGGCGGCGGGGCCGCAGCGAAGGGCGGCGGGGCCGCTGAGACGGGCGGCGGGGCCGCAGCGAGAGAGGCGGCGGGGCCGCAGCAAAGGGCGGCGGGGCCGGTGAGACGGGCGGCGGGGCCGCAGTGAAGGGCGGCGGGGCCGCAGCGAGAGAGGCGGCGGGGCTGCAGCAAAGGGCGGCGGAGCCGCAGCGAAGGGCGGCGGGGCTGCAGCGAAGGGCGGCGGGGCCGAATCGACGGGCTGCGGGGCCGCTAGGGCGTTGGGGCCGCTAGGGCGGCTCGACGAAGTGAGAGCCCAGAGCGCGACTTGGGCTGAGCGCGCTTCGGGCAGGAAAAAAAAAAACTCGATGTGGTGGGCCCTAGGCACAGTTCCCACGGGGGAACCTGCTCGATACCATGAGGAAATTAGAACGAGAATGAAATGACTATGGAATGGAAGTGATACAAATATGCAACCCTAGAAATGTGTACCCCATATGGGCTACCCCACTAAAGCCTAGACAACATTATAATTTGACAGCCCGAAGAACGGTACGAGCAGGATGGAGATCACTCTGACGCAGAAGAGGAGGGAGAATCATCGCCGGGACGACGACAACCTCCCGATTCTGCGAGCCATGTCGAGTAGGCTGCGGCCCCCAGAAATGCGCAGCGGCAGACCGACATTGCGGAAAAGGAGAGCAGGATCCGGTGTTCAACAATCCCGCTTCGACTGATAGAGGCCGCCACGAGAAGGCACTATTGTTTCCACTTTCTACACTTCAAGTGGTGGGTGATAATCTTCATGGCAATGATGGTAGATGTCCCTGTGGCAGATAGGCTGGCTCCCTCTCTGCACGACGAGGTTGGGTTTCATATGAGCAATAACTTGGGAAATGATGGGTGGTCGTGCAGCTCTGACGAGTGGCAGATTCATCTGCACGGGCCGCGAGTCACGGAATGGAGGCTTGGCCGATACATCGAGTATCTCTTCTGCGAAACTGACGAGCAGGCAAATCTGGTGGCGGACGCCTCCGTCACAAATCTCGCTTCCTCTCTGGAAGGCTCTGCAAGTCCCGGTTATGATGCACCTCGGATACCAATTTCTCGGAAGAGGGTGCAGCATTCGAAAGATTCGCCTTGGGAACCTGTTTGTCCGCATGACGCGGAGCACATCACACCTCGACGACTATCTGGACGTTTTCGTACTCGTCGTTGTTTCCAGGAAGTCGAAGACCAACCCCAACAACAAGCTGAGTCATCAGTTTCTTGCAAGGCATAGGGACTCGCGGCTCTGCGGAATGGGCCATGTGTTCCTGTGGCTTCATTTCATCTACGACCTCGTTCCTCTGCGCTACGGCCCCAGTATCGTCGAGCCTCTCGACTTTTATGAACCCATCTTGTGGACTAAAGCGCACCTCTTCTTTTCTTTGAAGAAGGGCAACCAGGGAAAGCAGAAGCAAGACAAGATGCACTACAAAACGCATAACACCTAGATCAAGTGGGCCATGATGAAGGCGAGATGGATTCTGAGCAAGGTGACACATGCATTCCGCAGATCCGGAGCGCAACAACTCCATGAAGATGGTTGCTCCTACAACGATATCGGCACTCTGGGCGGATGGGCGCAGGGGGAGTTGCGGAGGTGTTATGCGTTTGGCATTCCGTTCAAGCCGGTTTGGCTGCTGGCAGGATTCAGCGGGGATCGTGGAGACTACTACATCGGGAGAGCCCGCGCCAAGCTTCCGCGGCATAAGGATAAGGAGAATGATGAGTGGTTGCAGCTCTTGGATCTCTTGAGGCTTCACATTTTCCCCTGGGTCGAAGAGGGTTGGAAGAAGGTACGTGCTAGTGTACAGTATTCGCGTTCGTAGCTTAATTTTGATATGCAATTATGAACCGTCGCATTTCTCCTGCATACTCGTCCCGTCAGGTCAAAGAATGGAACGCTGCGCAGACCGATCCGCTGAAGAGGCACTATGCGGGGGCGAGGTTCCTTGAGACCCTCGCGAGCATCAGACGCCTCGTTGTTGCACAGGATCTGGCTATGATGTGGGCGTTCTGCCGTCAGCACGGCGTGAGAAACCCGCGGTGCAATTGCGAGAGGCATCCATATGTGCAGATGAGCCCCTTGTGCAACCACCCGCTGTTCCAAAAGTGGGCGTACCTGGTCGCTATCTCTCACTTCCAGGGCGAGAAGCTTCGGCAACCGGCCAAACCACCGCCAAAGCAGTAAGTGCCCGCTATTAGTGGTAGAGAGAGGGAGTTATTCGTTCATGCTGAGTTCTGCCGTGTTGGTTTCTGCAGGACGCTATCTTTCGCACGACCGCAGAAGAGAAGATGCAGAAGATGCACCTCACCGCCAATATGCTCAGGGAGGAGCTTGGGATTTTGAGAGGACGTGAAATGCAGTTGGCGATGGAGAACGCTGAACTGAGGGAGAAACTCGCCGCTGAGCGAGAGGACAAGGCTCGGGTCATTGCAGAGTTCGAAGCATACAAGAGGTCTGTTGCGGCCAGGGATGACGCGGCAAACACCTCTGCAGAGATCGACGGATCGTCGAAGAGCGCGGGAACAGGAGCAAACCAGGCAACGGACGCATCCAAAGCACCAGTTGCCGTGGAAGAATTCTTCGTCGTGGTCGTTGTGTCTTGGCGCGAAGCCACCACTGTTGCTGCTGCCTGGAAAGTGTGGGTGCAGCCAAGCCTCATCATGGGCGGCAGGTCACTGCGCGAAGTCTTTGCAGAGTTCGACCGGTATAAGAAGAAGAACAAGAATTCCAGCTTCATCACCGCATATTCCCGGTTCGCTGACAAAGGTACGCCCGGGATGGCTGTGGGTGCATGCGAGCGAAAGATGCGTCACGTGCATCGTGTCATGGTTTCCGTGGAGACGCTAAGAAAAGACAGCTCCGAGGCGGCGACCGCAACGGCCATTAAGCTGCTGGACGAGGTTTTACTCGTGTGCAACTTCACGGAATTCACCAACGGCCTGGCGGTGCTGCATGAGACTCCGCCCATCAAGAAACAGAAGACTGGTTCGTCGACGGAAAAGAGGACCGTCAACGACTTGGCGCAACGCATAGTGGGCTGGCTGTTAGTCAAGAAGGGCCTTCGCGACCAGAAGTGGGCAACTTCGCTGTTTGGGGATGATGAGTGGGAGGAGATCCACAAGGAACACATGGCGCAGGAGAAGGCGGAAGAGGAGAAACAACGAACCGCTGCGGCGAAGAAGGCGGAACGGGAAAAGGCGAAGGGCGAAGCGTCGAAACGCTAGGAGCAGAAATGAGGGGGCATGTACCTTTAGGGTGGGGCTGTCAGTAGATCTGCACTGTGGATGCCCGATTGATCCTGGAGAGGGTTACAGGCGCGTTCGCCTGGGGGGTTATGGGCGCACTGATCCGCTACTGAAACAAGCCCTTTTAACCCAATGGTCTAGTGGTTGGGATTCTGACATGGTATCAGAGCGGTCTCGGGTTCGATTCCCGGTGTATGCACATGTAGGCCGTTGCCGCTGTGCTTAGTCCTGGGCCTCCCAGTGTGGGGGGGTGTCAGTAGATCTGCACTGTGGATGCCCGATTGATCCTGGAGAGGGTTACAGGCGCGTTCGCCTGGGGGGTTATGGGCGCACTGATCCGCTACTGAAACAAGCCCTTTTATCCCAATGGTCTAGTGGTTGGGATTCTGACAGGGGCGGTTTAGTTATTTGGGTGGTTTATTCCGGTTGTACTGAATATGCACTACAGGCACTTGTCTGTCTCTGTAGAAGCCCGATTTGGGGCTTGTATGCCACCTTCTTCCCTGGACGCGCTGTTTTTCGTAGAATGTTTTTCTGGTCTATGCATTGAAGCACACATCGATGGTATATATCGGGCGAAATTCTGCGGACTCATGTCGTATACGATGTTATTCTATAGAGCGGCGTCGATTCACTCTCACGATTGTAGATGTGTGTTCTTAGGCCGCTCGGTAGACTTTTGCATGGATGTATTCAGTCTCAGCATATGTTTCTGGGCAAAGGAGTGTCATATTCTACTAGTAGCAACGAAGATCCTATCCATGACGGTAGATATTATCCATACGTGGGTTTTTCTGCGGTATAGTGTCGTTTCCGATTTGCCTCCAGAATTTGGCGTCGAGGAATTCAATCTCCATAGCAGAAAGGTCTGTGCATAGGAATACCGTATACGATTCTTAACAAGGTGCTCCCTAAGACAAGATGTTATGCGATTGTTTAGCCCCATACTTCTACCTCCTCGTAGAAGCCGAGTATTAAACGTAGATTAAGTGTCGTAGAAGGCCGTCCTGTCGTCAATTATTTTATTCGGCTGGCCCTCCCTTTGATGGCGAGTTCTATCGGCTGCATTGCTAGCTCCATACGCGCCCTACAAATTTCGCGAGTGTAGTGAAGGTTTGCATAGCAAAAATACATCTCTCATTGTATTGTATACAACAACACCTATATTTATACACGGTTAAAAAAAAAAACGGAAAGGAAAATCTATTTCTACTGCGGTACTAACAAGACCTCCAAAGAACCCGTCTGCCTCTATCACTCCTGGCCGCCAGTGCCGGTGTTCTCCTCCGTCGACGCATCCTTCGTCGCGTTCCCCTTCGCGGACGATTTCTTGGTTTTCTTCTCCTTATCCGCCCGTGTTGTGGTATCCCGGCCGCCCAACTTCTTCTGCAGGACTCCGAGGCAGACGCCCTGGTGCTGGCGAAGGCCTCTTGATGCCATGCTACATAGGCACCAAGAGGTCACCACCTTTGCCACCACCCTTGTCATCCGCTTTGTATCCCCGGCCGCTCGCGACTCTGCCGGAAGCGCTTTCAGCAGCGCATTCGACAGGGGCAGAATCCACGCTTCCTTGTCATGCTCCTGATCCTTGACCAACCTCATCGCCTCAACCGCAGCGCAAGCAACTGAGGCTGCAAGCGTCGCAAGGGCATCGAGGACGGCAGAGGTCACATCGGCCGCAGAAGATGACGAGGCAGCCGACGAGGCGGTGGCAGCAGTGGACGATCTGGCAGCAGAAGATGCTATGGCCGTAGAAGTTCCACGTGCAGCTGATGTTGCGCCCGTCTCCCACTGGGTCTGGTCCACATTCGTGGATGCGGCCCACATTACAGACAATGTGGCGGCAAGTCCGACTGCGTGTTCTTCCGTCGAATAGCCGTTTTCACCCTCCACGCCTCCCACCATCTTCTGCCACGCAGTTATTCCGACACCAGCGCAGGCAGCTACCTGAAAGCCATCCCCCTGCTGCTGCCGAAGAGCCGTGTTGGTTTGAACGAGTGAGAATCTGCACAAGACACCAGTGTCGCAAGATCAGAACCATCGAACTTCGTGGGTGTTTAGAAGTTGCAACTGTCCATCACATAAACACTCACCCGTCCGGTTTATCCAGGTGGAGCTCGTTGATGACGCTCCACACCCCTGTTGGAAGCCACGTTGTGAAGTCGAGGTCTTCCCGCCACTTGTTAATACGGTTTGGATTCATGCCGTATGCCTGCATGTCAATATCCGGGAAATAGAACTTCCAGCAGACTACGACCGTGTATGCCCTCTCCCACACCGTTTTGTGAGAGCCGAGGTTCCGCTTCCGGTCACCGACGGTCTGCTCAGACGTCCACTTATGCAATGCTCCCTCGCCCCGTTGAGAGAACCCGCTTCCCCTGAACGGCAGGCAGACACCCAAAGTCTTACCCTTGTCGTCCACTACGGCGTTTTTCCTGTTGTCACACTTGTCGATCTTCATCCCTTTCTTTTCCCCTGGGATTATCGGTATCAACTCCTGTATACCAGCTGCACGCCGTCTCTTAGCCGCATGACCCTCCGGCTCCCTGTCCTCCTGTCTAGGCCGCCTCCTGGACACCTCTACGTTCTGTCCGGGAACAATAGCCACGCCCTCTGCTACATTCGCCTCCCCGCTCTCAATCAACAGCAAACTCCCCAGGCCCTCAGCTATTTCCTCCTCGACTCCCTTCCAGGTCCCCTCCCCCTGCATGGTCAAATCCTCCTCTTCCATCTCCCTTGCCAATCGTTCCGTCTCTTCAGCCATCGCCTTTGCCTTTGCCTCCAGTTGCCGCTGCTGTTCCGCGTAGGATGCAAGTCTGGCCCTCTTCTTTGCTCGGCACTGCTCCGCCTTCTGCAGGTGCTCCATCTCCTGCTGTTTCGCCCTCTGCCGCCGCTCGGCCTCCTCTGCCTCCTTCTTCTGCGCCTCCTCCTTCTGCAGGCGCTCCATCTCCTGCTGTTTCGCCCGCTGCTGCCGCTCGGCCTCCTCTGCCTCCTTCTTCTGCGCTTCCTCCTTCTGCAGGCGGTCCAATTCCTGCTGTTTCGCCCTCTGCTGCCGCTCTACCTCCTCTGCCTCCTTCCTCTGCCTCTCCTCCTTCTGCAGGCGCGCCATCTCCTGCTGTTTCTCCCTCTCCTGCCTCTCGGCCTCCTCTGCATCTTTCCGCTGCGCCTCCTCCTTCTGCAGGCGCGCCATCTCCTGCTGTTTTTCCCTCTCCACCCGCTCTGCTTCCTCTGCCTCCTTCCTCTGCGCCTCCTCATTTTGCTGGTGCTCCTTCTCCTGTTGTTTCTCCCTTTCCTCCCGATCGTCCTCCTCAGCCTCCTTCCTCTGCGCATCCTCCTTCTGTCGCCGATCTCCCTCCGTTGCCTTCCTACCCTGCTCCTCCTTTTGCCGCCGCTATGCGCCCAATCTCAGAACTACTGACAGCCGCTTTTCCACCTCACTTAGCATCCCCTCCTTCCACCCCTTCATCCCCGTCTTCATCTCCTTCACAGCCTCCATCACTTCCTTCATTCCCGCCTCCACCTCCTTCTGCCATCGCTCTTCCTCCTGATGTTTCTTCTTCCTCCGCTCCTCTGTGGCCTCTACATCCTTCCTCTTCTCCACTTCCTCCTTCCGCCATTGCTCGTCCAGTTGTTTCTTCTTCTCTCTCTCCTCGTCGTCCGCCACTTGTTTCCTCTTCGCGTCTTGCTGTTGTCGCCGCTCCGCGTCCTCTTGCCTTGCCTTCTTCTGCCGCTCGGATTCTTCTCGCAAAACCGCGCTCAACCTCCCCACAATCTGGTTTACCATCCCATCCTTCATCTCCTTCATTTCTGCCTTCATCTCCATCATCGCCTCCTTCATCTCCTTCATTCCCTCTCTCATCTCCTTCTGCCGACGCTCTTCCTCCTGTTGTTGTTCCTTCTTCCGTCTCTCTGCGGCGTCTGCTTCCTTCCTCGTGGCCTTCTGCCTCCGCTCCTCGTCCTGCAGTCTATCCCTGTTCCGCCGCTCAGAGTCTTCTCTCAGAACCTCTCTCAACCTCTCTTCCACCCCCTTTAACGTGCCCTCCGCCATCCCCCCTCCCGACTGGCGAACCTGATCACTCACCCTTTCGATACTCTCCCGCAAGTTGGAGAGTCTCGTGTCCACCTGCTCGCGAAACCTGGCCGCCGTTTCAGCTTGGCGCCGCCGTTCCTCGTTTCCATGGCTGACTTCTTCCAGGTTGGCCAGGGCGTCACGGCAGTAATGGACGGTCAGATCGGCCACATCGCGACTGATGTTGCTGTTGCGGGCCGCCAAGTTGCAGAACGTCTGCGTCACCATTCGGGCTAAGAGCGTCAGATGACGCATTACCTCTGCCGGGCTTATGTCCCAGCTTTCGGCCTCGACGAACCTGTCACCTTGTTCGACCAGGACTGTACTCGTGCGCTGTAGCATCCGCCGTATTGCCGTCTCTGCCTCGACCCACTCTACCTGCCAAAACGCTTCTGCCACCCCGCCTTGGCCGAGATTCCTCTCCACTGCTCTCTGGTGAAGGGTAGGCCGCCTCTGCCTGTTGAGATCCACTGTATCCCTAGGCGCCCCATCGTCTGCCACCCTCCATGGCCCCTCTACCCCAGTTCCTGGTCCCCGCGTCGGACTTCCTCCCAAAAATATCCGGACTGCCGGTTGTACCGTATCCTCCTCATTCTGCTCCTCTTCTGTTTCCAGCGCATCTCCCTCGTAGTGCCCCACTCCAGCCTCCAGGACCACACGAACCTCCTCTGTCAGAACATTATAGCTCATGCATATTGTGTAGGCTATAGTGGGGTAGCCCATAAGGGGTACAACCCAATTAGGGTTAGTACTTGTACCCAATTCATTCATAGTTCATTCATTCTCGTTTCTTCTCATGGTATCGAGCAGGTTCCCTAACGGGAACGATTCCTAGGGCCCACCACTACGAATTTTTTTTTTTCCCTGCCCGGAGCGCGCTCCACTTAGGCCCGAGTCGCGCCCCGTGTGCTTTCCTTACCGTCGCGCCCTCGCTAGGCCCCTCACGGCCCCGTCGCGTCGCCCTTAGCGGCCCCTAGCGGCCCCGTCGCGCTGCCCTAGCGGTCGCGTCGCGCCGCCCTAACGGCCGCGTCGCGCCGCCCAAGCCGCCCTCACGGCCCCCTAGCGGCCTCTTGCGGCCCCGATCCGCCGCTTTTGCAGCCCCGATCCACCGCCCTTCGCGGCCCGTCGCCGCTCTCCCCCTACGGCCCCTCGCCGCCCTTTCACCAGCGGCCCCGTCGCCGCCCTTGCACGGCCCTGACGCCGCCCTCCCTGCGGCTCTGTCGCCGCCCTCTTCAGCGGCCCGTCGCCACCCTTCTCAGCGGCCCCGCCGTCTCCTTTCAGCGGCCCCGCCGTCTCCTTTCAGCGGCCCCGCCGTCTCCTTTCAGCGGCCCCGCCATCTCCTTTCAGCGGCCCCGCCGTCTCCTTTCAGCGGCCCCGCCGTCTCCTTTCAGCAGCCCCGCCACTACCCCTGCAGCGGCCTCGTCGCCGCCCTTTCAGCGGCCCCGCCGCTTCCTTTAAACGGCCCCGCCGCCTCCTCTCGGCGGCCCCGCCGCCTCCTCTCTGCGGCCCCGCCGCCTCCTCTCAGCGGCCCAGCCGCCTCCTCTCAGCGGCCCCGGACGCCGCCCTCTCAGCGGCCCTTCCGCCGCCTCCTTAGCGGCCCCGCCGAGCCGCCCAGCAGCAGAGTCGCCGAGCTGCCCAGCAGCCGAGCCGCCAATCCGCCCAGCCGCCGAGCCGCCGAGCCGCCGAGCCGCCCAGCAACCGAGCCGCCGAGCCGCCCCGCAGCCGAGCCGCCGAGCCGCCCAGCAGCCGAGCCGCCGAGCCGCCCAGCTACCGAGCCGCCTACCGCCCAGCTGCCGAGCCGCCTACCGCCCAGCTGCCGAGCCGCCGAGTCGCCCTGCAGCCGAGCCGCCCGAGCCGCCCTGTCTGGTAAGAGCATCGCCTCTGTCACTGCGCTGCCCTCTGTTGGTGCAACCCTACGGTTTGCACTCGGCTTGTTGTCCGTGTGCGTGCATGTGTGTGTGTATGAAATGGTATGAGGGCATGGGATAATATATATTTCATGCTTATAATTGTGTGTGAATGTTGATTCATGATGTCGAGTGTGTGTGTGTCGAGTCAATAGCGAGTTATCGCTAGACGCGTGTTACGCGGTCGTTTGTGTCTCGCACGCGGTTCCTATTTTATCGTGCGCGGTTTCTATTTTGTCCTGTGTCGAACATTCAGCGTGTCGCAAGTGTGTGTAGAAGACCCATCAAGAACTCAAGGATGAGTTTGTGATGAAGAACCCGAGCCTTGGTGTCAAGCCACAAGTGATTTCGAAGCTCGCCAAAAGGGTGCACCTCAAGATATTGAAGATAGTTACATTACTTTGTGTAGTGTAACATTTCACTTGGTGTAGGCCCTAGTGAAGGGTAGTTTCGAGACCCTTCGTGGTTGGGGACAGTGTGGCATTGTTCCACATCACTGTACCTCGGCTCTTGGGGTTTGTAAGAGCTGGGAGTCATTCCCAACTCGTAACTCTTCCTAACTCTTCCTATCTTGTGTTCTAAGACTATGTTGCTGCCATAGTGCCGTTCGTTCAAACCAACGCACTGTCATCAATACTTGGTCAAATCGTGCGATCTAAATTGCCTAGTATAGGCGAGAATAAGACGCTCCAGATCCAAGTTGAATCAAGTCATTTGATGTTGTGACCAGAACGCTATGAACGTTTGAAGCCGTTGTGCAGAAATCCGACTGTGCACTCTATCTTTCGTTTTAGGCACATTGGAGCCTACTGTGACTATAACAAGTGGTATCAGAGCCCCTTGGAGCAGTTTCTGCGGAGATAACTGCAGCAACGGGAGCTAGGCTACGGGCTAGGCACGTGTGCTCGTGTGATCTCTGCGTTCTCTGTTCCTTAGTCGGTTTCCTTGTGCACACACTACTTGCTAGTTCACGGGGAAAATTGGCAAGAGTTTCACTAGGAAAAGTTCAGAACAATGGTACAATGAAGTTGGCAATGCAAGACTACATCAGGACTAGCATTGAGGTCGGCCAACTGCCAGCGCAGCTTGGTCGACCGCGTTCCAGCACGGCTTGGTCGACCGAACTCCAGCAAGGCAAGGTCGACGGCGTGCCAGCGTTGCTCACGCAGGACAGTAGTGCACCCGCTTCGCAGGTGTGCGTAGCCGATTGGCGTGCAGAGTCCCGTCACCTGCACAGCGCACACTCCACGTCAACCTTGAGCTGACGACTGCCTCTGGCCCGCCACGACGACCTCGGGATACCACCACTGAGGTCGTGCTCGCCAACTTCGCCTGGGCGACCGTCGCACTCCTCCGCAGCACTTCGTCACCCAGGTAACCTGGTCGACCCGGCAACCACGTCGACCAGCATCTCCCGTACGTGCCCGTCGACCAGCATCTCCCGTACCTCCTCCAGGTCGACGTCCCCTATGGTCGACCAGCTTCACGTCGACCAGCACAGTCGTCGGCCGACCACCCACGTCGGCCGCCCGAAGCACGTCACGAAGTTGACGCCCCGCTACTCGACGCCCGACTGCTCGGCGTCTTGCGTAAAGGTCAACGTCGGTCCCTCCTTCGTCGACCACCTGGTCCAGTCGACCACCCGCAGGTCGACTAGCGGTCCGTTAGCCGACCGCCAAAGTCGGCTTCGACGTCCTCTGCAGGTCGACTCCCAAGTCGACCTCCCCGAAGTCGGCGCCACCCTAAAGTTGGCGCCCGTGCAGTGGTCCCCCGTGCAGGTCGACCTCCTCGTCGACCAGCTCACCCACTGCTGCAGGTCGGCTGCTCCCCTCACATCCGACCACGAAGTCGGCTCCGCCCAAGCGAGAACGGGGCCAATACCCAACTCCCGTTGACAGTTTCGACAATGGCTGGACCTGAGGAAAGGGGTGGCAGAGGTGCTGGTGGCAGAGGAGAAGCCCAAGCTCAAGGCCAACCCCGTGATTCAGCCGTGGCGCCTGTGCAACCAAGTGTTGGCCCATCTAGGGATGAGCCTAGAGTATTTGGCCTTGACAAGTTCAATGGTGACAACTTTGCTGAGTGGTCCTTCAGAATGGAGAACATATTTGACCACTATGACCTGCTGGAGGTGATGGAAGGAACGGAGAAGCGTCCCGAGAACGACCCGGAGAAGAGCCCGTGGGTGCGGAAGAGCGCACAAGGCTACCTCTTACTTGGGCAAGCGTTGGGGAGCAGCCAAATCCGTCACATTAAGCCTTTCCAGCGTGAACCAGAGAAGGGACCAAAGGCATGGGCTGCTCTCAAGGGTGTACACGCTCCTGCAACAGCGGCGGTAGCTGTGGTGTTGGAACGGCAAATGGCGACACTACGAATTGAAGAGGATGAAGCGGTTGAAGAAGGGGTGCAGAAATTCTTCGACTTGTTGACGCGGCTTGAGGGAGCTGATTTGAACTATAGTGAGCTCCAAAAGAAGATCAAGTTGCTGGCCCTACTCCTTGAGTCATGGTCCTCGCTCATCATCAACCTTAATCGCGACTTGCCCCGCCTCTCGCTTGAAGACGTTAAGCGAGCTATCCTTCAAGAGGATTTCCGCCGCCGTGAGTTGGCGAGTGCGGATGGCGCTGGGGCAGCGAGCATCGGCCGTGGATATGGTCGAGGAAGAGGTAGAGGACGAGGGGGAGGAAGTTTTGGTGGCAGCAACTTCGGCGGAGGCCGCGGGAGTGGCGGTTACGGCAGCGATGACAAGAGCTACGGACACGGTCGCGGCCGATTCAACGGCGAGTGTCACTATTGCCACAAGAGCGGACACATGTGGCGCGACTGCTACAAACTCCCTGATGGTTGGACCCCTGCTCAAGGCCAAGAGGGTAGAGGAGCAGGAGGAGGGAGAGGACGAGGCCGTGGAGGCCGTGGCGGTCGCGGTGGCGGAGCTGCAAACATGAAGAGCGGAGACAACGACAAGGACCCGAGCGACGATCGGTACCCGGGTCTATTCTACTTCGTGTCGACGCAAGTACCAGCTGGTCCAGAAAAGGATGAAGGCTTTGAGGAGCCAGCAGCTGTGAGGAAGGTGACCCTACACCCCCTGGACTATTGGGTGATTGATAGTGGCGCTACCTATAGCATGACACCTCGCACGGACTTGCTCACCGAACTCGAGCCGTCACCGGTGAAGCATGTCACATCGGCTTTGGGGCAGCGAGCAGAGGTGAAAGGCATGGGCAAGGCCATGTTCAAGGGTGCTGATGGGAAGATGGTGGGCCTCAAGAACGTGCTTTGGGTGCCCAGCCTCGCTGCGAACCTGATCTCCGTGCGGCGGTT